CTTTTTATTGAAAAGCTGGTGTCTAGTTGGTATGCTTATCGCTGTCTCAAGTTAGCGTAAAAAAAAAAACTGCAACAAATAAGTATTATGTAGTGTACAGTAAGGTTCAATGCTGAGCTAGCCCGCCCGTAAACAATTAAAGGTGACGAAGGCCTTCAAGGCGGTAACTCGTAACCCGAAACCGGTAAACGTTTGGCAAAAAAAAATAAGGAAACTAACTGATAATTAATAATTGTGTTTGACTTAACCACCTAAAAAGCGTACATATTGGCAAATGTCCCATTCCAGGCAGGCGCCTTTTATTTACAGCTCTAGCCCGCGCTCCGTCCTGTGTCAATTCATGTTGGGACAATTTACACATAATTTTAATTTATATAAATATCACTATAAAACACGTTAAAACAGAATTACTGAGACAAATACCTTATAGTACTATACTAATAAAAGATAGTAATAGTAAAGATAGAAATAACCAAAATCAACATTTACAGATTTAGACAGTAGAGTGTTGAATTAACTAAAATAATCAAACTTTTAGAAACAAGTCATGTTGTTTCACCTTGTGTTGCTACTTTCTCATGTTTCTCATAAAGTTTTTTTTACACAGAACATGGATTTACCTAAAGATCTCTTGATATAACACAAGTAAAATAATCTGGTTTTGGAGCGAGACTGTGTCAGCAGCTAATGTGTTAGCTTGTTTTTGCTAATGCTACATGATAAATCCACTTCTTTTACAAAAGAGAGGAGAGATCAGCAATGTAATGTAATGTAATCAGGATAAATCTGGTTGGAGGAGCTAAAAGAGCAGCACTTGCACCTCAGAAATCTGTCAAGAACATAACGGTCTCATCTGCATAGAAGCAGATAATAAGTGGAGCATTATTAGTGACTCTTTTAGACAACATGTAAAGACTGAAACAAATGTGATGGGAAACACTAATGGAGGAGATGGTGAGGCTCAAGACTGATAAATGACAACATACAGAAAAAAGTGGAAAATAAAGAGCACAGAGAGGTGACCTTTTCGTAGCTGAATGTCAGAAATATTTAAAGAATTTAAACAACAAGATGAACTTTAATGGTGGAAGAAATGTGAACAATAAGAGGAAAACAAGAGCTTTTGTACTTTTTGAAAATATCCACGTAGGCCTCCGTGTAAATCCTCCTCTTCCGCATATTTCCTCTTGAAGTAAGCAACTTTCGACGTTGTTGAATGGTTTGGTCTCTCTCACAGGGAAGGGGCTGCTGGAGGCAACAGAACAGACATTAGACGACAAATCTAACAGAAGGAAGGCCGGGGGACATATTTAAATTATTGCAACGTTGAGTTTTACCCTACTGTTAGCAGATGTGCTGAAGTTTGTGTTTTACACTCTGAAGGGACTAAAATGGATGTTTCTGAACTACAAACAGTTTCAAAACATCGCCAGTGAGCTTGGAGAAAAATTTTATTAAAAATAAGTATTTGGTTTTAACAGTACAAATAAAGATTAGAAAATTAAGTCACATAAAATGACTAGTAAAAGCTTCTTAATTAAGAATATGTTTTGAGTTCGATGTAATCAGTTTTAACAATTCCTTTGAGTTAAATGAACTTATCAGGTTTTACACTACTGAGTAAGTAAATGAGTAAATGATTAATCCAGTAATTACATTTTTAAAAAGATCAGTGTGATTAACTGACATTTAAATAAAGCCCATTATGAGCTGCTCTCAGGTTATGACTCATTACAAGACCCTTTCAAAGAAAACCATAGAATTTGAGGGCTGATACAGATCCTTTTATTTCCAGACTGAGGCTGCTGATGAACAATAATTTGTGCACAAGAACTCACATACTCCTTTTTTTGTTATATATATATATACATATATATATTACCTCCAAAACTGTGCTCCTAATAAACCTTTTAAACAACATCTAGAATATGAAGTGTGAAAGTTAATTCTTCACATATAAAACAATATTTTGACAAAATAAGGTTATATATATCAGATCTGAAACACTCATATAGCAGCAAACAAATATTTGCTATGTAAAGATATAGTGGAGTCACACTCCCTCTGCCTGTGTTGCTATCGCAGCCTCTCTGTGGTTTGTTTAGAAAGCCAGTCTGGCTGCAAATTTAGTGAGTCTGAAACTGGCCGTTTCGGTGAATTAAGGTCCACCAAACTAGAGTTGGTGATTATTGGAAAAACTAAGACAGTTTTGGTGGGTTTGGTGACTTTCAGTCTGATGTTGAGTTAGGATCTTTTTTTGAAACAGGATTTTCATCATTTGACACTAAAACTCTGCAGTGATACCAGGCTCTTTTGGGTTACCTTTAAATCTGCTACAATCCATATTAATCCTTGTCTTTCACGCAATTTTGCAGTTCCCCTCAACTCTACTGAGCTTTTTTAGCATTTTTTAACTCACTGTTTTGGTTTTACAGCCTATAAATATACATAGTGGAACATTTACCAAATAAAGAGCCAAATATTTCCTCAGGAGACCAAACCAGAGCTAAAACATATAAAGATATCAGTTTTCATATGAAAGCTAATGTTTCTGTGTCTGCTGGATGTGTTATATTGTTTGCTAACATGTTTGTCATTTTAACTTTGAGGCGATAATATGTCGATGTTGTGAAAACGGTTTGTTGCACTGCCCCCAAGTGGCCAAAAACAATATTTTTATTCTTGGATCCCCATTAGCTGCCATTAAAGTAGCAGGGGTCCACAAACAACAACACATACATATAAAACAGACCATATAATATTAATAATAAAGGTTTAAAGTATGCCCTGATATCAGCTGAGGCCCCAGTAGTGCCCCCAAGTCCTCCAAAATAAACTGCAGAGGAAGACTATAACATTACCTCACTGGAGGTGAATGAGGTAACAGATCTGATTACCTGCTGCTGACGCTCCACAGCCGATGCTCAGCTCTCTAACCGGAGTTTGAATCAGTGTGTCTGAGCTGATCTGAGCCTCCACATCGCCCTCAGGCTCCTGCAGGGAAGGAACAGGTTGAGAGACGAGTGGGGAGGAGGAGGAGGAGGAGGAAGAGGAGGAGGAGGATGGAGAGACCAAAATATCTAAGCACACTGCTGACGGAAGATGTGATTGTATTCTGTCAGAGCTGCAGCCTAAATTTTATCTTTGAACTTCTTCAACTTTAATCACATTTGTGAAACCTGCACATATATGTGTGTGTGTGTGTGTGTGTGTGTGTGTGTATATGTATATATATATCAATATCTGATACTTTATTTTTTGTATTTTTTTTGTTATTTACTATCAAGTTTTTTTTAAATTAAAACTGCACTGGAGGTTTCCTACATTTTTATACTAATTTTCAAAGAAGAAAATTTAAAATGTTATGTTTTATACAAAAGAATGCAAAAAATTTGAAAAAATATAGATATTATCTAAAAAAAGAACAAAATAATACTGACATATTTTATTTTATTAAATGTATTTGTCTGTGATGTGATATACATTTTATTATTATTATTATTATTATATCTGAACTTTATTTCATATATTTCCACATTAAAAGCACTAAATTTTGAAATTTGAGATTTTATTTTTATTTACAACTAATGGCTGGATGTGAAACAATAGAGAAAATATACAAAATATTACAAAATAATAAGAAATAAAAATAAAAAAACAAAGGAGAATATACATTTATGTGCTTGATGTAATATATAAATGAAACATAATAGATATTATTAAAACATCTGCACTTTATTTTATATAATTCCACAATAAAGCACTCAGAAACTGAAGAATCACAGCTATAACATCCTGATTTGACGCTAATGGTTTTACATTAAAGGGCAAAAAGCTCATTTAAATTCAAGAAGGAGGAAGAGGAGGAGTGTGTGTGTGCGGTATGTGTGTGTGTGTGTGTGTTTAAAATGCCATAAATTGATCATAAACACAGGGTGGGAAGCTTTATGGTTGTGAAACATTCACGCCGGCTCCCCTGAAGCTGCCGGCGGTGACTCACACAGTTTTTAACATCCAACTGCAGCCTGAATATTTCATCTGTGGGAGAATGAAGCACGATGATGGATACATCAGTGGAGAGAGAGAAAGAGGATGCGTGGGAAGTGTGTGTGTGTGTGTGTGTGGATGCAACACTTTACATTTTCTTTAGTGTTTCCACTGAAAGCAGAAGTATGTGTGCACAGGAGGTCATGAATCTCCAACCTTAAATCCTTAAACTTCACTGAGATTGGTGGGAAAGTTTAAAGGGTTAAAACAAGTGAATTCTAACTGGTGACTGAATAATAAGATCTTGATTTAAGAGACTTTCAGTTTACATTTTATCACCAAAATATCAGCTTTCCATGAGCTGAGTGCAGTGTTTGTGTAATCCAATGGTTTATTTATTTCAAAAGGTTATTTTTTTAATGAATAAAGTAACATAACTCAGAGATTAATGAGTAGTAATGGTTTGGTTTTAGATGTTTTTTAAGTCCTATATTACTTTTTGTCAATTTCTATGTTATTTTACTATTTTAATTTGATTTTATTCACATTCTTATTGTGTTTTTATGTATTTCATCCTTTTAAATGTAGTTTTAATGCATTTTCTCACCTTCCCTACTGTGTTTGAAAAGTGCTGTTCAAATAAACTCGCTTTAAAGACAAGCAGCTGCTGTTACCACCACCAATAAATCCGTTAAATGTCCATTAAAGCACCTTACCTTTGAGTAAATGTGTCCTGCAGCCGTTCAGTAAATCCCACTGAAAGCCTCTCTCTCCGTGGATGTCCTCCGCTCCTTGGCGCGACATCTACCGTCCTCACACCGACTCAGCGACGCTCCTGCTCGGCCTGAAGTCAGCGCCTCCCTCGGTCCCTTGCAGACAGACACACGCACACGGGCAGACAGACAGCCAGCTCCGGCTCCTCCGGGGGTGAGACGCTCTCTGCTCTCCAGCCTCCTAAAATATCCCGTTCACTGCAACACGAGACAGCACACACCGCTCCGCGCGCGCCCTCATTGGTCCTCGCGGAGGCTGATGTTTCCTGTTGCTAGGAGACAAAGAGTAAGTACGCTGATGACGCCGCAGCATCAATCCTCGTCGGGGTGTGTGTGTGTGTGTGTGTGTGTGTGTGTGTGTGTGTGTGTGCGCTCTGAATCTCGTCGGGTCGGTGTGTTGTGTGTGTGTGTGTGTGGTGTGTGGGGTGTGTGTTGCTCTTTTACAACTGGAGCAACTATTCAGCTCCAAAAGTACAAAATATTGTTCTCCAACATCTAAAAAAATAAAGTTGTTTTCGAACAAACAAAAGTTCAAATGACGCTCCTAAATCCGCCCCTTTTCGGTCTGCAGGGAATGTTCCGCTAAATAACTGACTACAGTAATTCCATAAACATCCATATTGTTGGCTTTTCACTGTTTAATTTAAAGATATGTACACTTAAAAACATTGCAATGAGCTTATAATACAGGTGAACGCTGCTATAATACAAATAATCACGGCTTAAATTGTACAGAAGAGTGCTGTTATTATTGCATTTTCTTACTTTTTATCTGAATTTAAAAGTTTTAAAAGTTACATTAATTATTGCGGTTTCAGTGATTAAAACTGTATTTGGACTAGTGTTTACCCAATGCTTATAAACTGATAACAACATTTGTTGTGAAAACTTCCATAATTATGCAAGATATCTTGTCAAATTAACAAACATAATCCATGTGTATGGTCTTTAGACGTACTACACGGTCTTTTTTATCTTGTAAACCATCTCCAAAATGTGGGTGTTTTTCAGAATATAGATTAGCTTAGCATAAAAAGATATCTAGAAGTTGACTAACTCAACTGTGTGTGTCATTAGTGAGTCGTTATATCGTTATGAGCGATACCGTTTTAAAAAAAGTGATAAAATGCAAAATATCCTGTCAAACTGTCAGAAGATGGTTTGTTTTCTTTTAATTGCTCACATTTATTTTGCTTTATTTTTGTTGGTATTGATTGTTTTATCTTCACAGACAGCGAGAGCGCTGAACTAAAGATTAATTAATATTATAAATGTGAGAAACTATAAACAGAAACTGTCAAAATCAATTTCCAATTTAAATTTGAACCAGTTTTCAACTTATGTTAACGACTAATAAAATCTGTTTACAGCTTCTGTCTGTCTGTTATTGACATTTTATTGACATCAACACTTGATATATATTTAAGTCCTGGACTTATTCCCGTCCTCGTCTCAGTTGTTCTCAGTGCAGCAGTTTAAAGCTGACATATAAACTCAATTAAGAAGTAAAAGATGAGAACATGTTTAAGAATCCAACATTTAGGGAATTAGGGAATACTATCTAGCACGCCTTTTTTATTATTTGTTTAAGCCAGGAGAATTTGGCTCCTTAATAAAAGGAGATTCCCTCCAGAAAATATAGCTTTGATGCTGAAATAAAATCATCATTATAAAGGAGATTAGAAGATCATTAAATGGATAAGATCACTGTTTTTAAATTTCTTTTCAGGCACTTTGAGAAACTACGACCCTATTAAGTAACTATATAGCTAATAATAAACAACACGAAACAAAAGCAAATTCACTAACGAAACAAACATCGTTACCTAAAGATTAAACTCCCCAAAAACACTAAAAAACCACAATAATACTTCCTTAATCTACTAATCCAGCCTGTGTGAAAACTGGAAAAATCCTTACTACCATCACAGACAGGATGACTTTGTTATTGTGTTTTTGTGTTAAATACTGGCTCATTCTCAGAATTAGACATCTGACAGAAGCTCAGGACGGAGAGAAGACCCAAGAAAAACAGATGCCAGACAGACGTTCCCACAGCAGCGATTCTTCTGGGTTTTATCTGGCAACACAAAACATTGGTACAAAAAAGTGCTTCTGGGTGCCGCAGGGAACTCAGCCATGCGCAGGCCCGGACCAGGACTGCAGGACGTACCAGTCCTACAGGACGGCAGTTTGACTGCAGGCTCTACAGAACTGCAGGACTGCAGCCTCCTACAGATGCAGTCTTACCAGTCTCTACAGGACTGCAGGACTAGCAGTCTCTACATAGGAAACTGCAGGTCTACAGTCCTCTACAGACTGCAGTTCTACAGTCTCTACAGGACTTCAGGTCTACAGTCTCTACAGACTGCAGGACTGCAGTCTCTACAGACTCAGGAGCGCACAGGACTGCAGCCCTCTACGACTGCAGGTCTTACCAGTCTTCTAACAGGACCTGACGGTCTACAGTTCTACAGGACTCAGGCTACAGTCTTACAGGACTGCAGCGTGTTGTCTACTGTAGCTGCGAGTTCCACTTTGGATGTCAGTGGAGATCTTTTCAGAAAATGAAGCGCTGTGTTGTAGTTTTTGTATTTTATTTACCCTTCTTAAGTCCCGCCCCTTTTTGGTCTGCGCCCCAATAGCTATCGTTGTTATTGCGTAGCTCTTTATCTCTGTAGCCACCGAACTATCTAGCTAACGACTGCTGTAGAATAGTTAGCTAGCGTTTTTCTAACTTAAGATGCGACTATATATTTAATTTTTATCTTTCAACCATCTTAAAATGGCGGAGAAAGTGGACCAAAAAGGGGCGGGACTTAGGAAAAATTTATTAATTTAATCTTATGTTTTTGACGATATAATAAAAAAAAACCTTGTTTTTGGACTAATATTATAAGCTTTTATCTTTAATTTCCATTTTTTGTCTTGAATATGGTTCAATCAATGTCAAAAATAAACTCTGACACTAACATTTAAAGGAATAAATCCACATTTTGTGAAATACTTATTCGCTCTCTTGTTAAGGATTAAGATAAGAAGATCAATTACTACTCAGATGTTTGTGCGGTAAGGTCTATATTTGTATTTTTGAGGTGATCTTGGTTTTGGATCCCTGTGTAGACTTTACTGAATCTGGTCTGACTTCAGCCCCGGTCCTGGCCTCGACATCACGACGCCCGCCCTGCAGTCACCGTCCATGCATACAGTCCTACAGCAGCATTCACAGGGAACGACAAGAAAGGCTTCATGCAAATTTGGATCATCTCTTTGTCACCGCGGATATGTTTCATCTCGAAATGTTACAGGCACTTCATCAGAGTATTACAACTGTATCACATCTGCAGCACAATCTGATTGTCTCACATCTGTAATACAACCTGGGATCCCGAACTGAGCATGCAGACGTGTGAATACCATAGAAATCTTGGGAAATACTTAAGAACATTAAACACTGACTATTTTAAAAAATATAGAATAGATATTATAGATTCTGTACAACAACTCAACATGCATAAAATATATCAGTCTGTGCAGTAAATATAGTTCATGTCACTATTCACACTCACATGGATGAAGCCTGTGGAATAGGAGTGCTGATATCTTGTGACAGTCTGTGTGACTCATCTGCCAAAATAAAATGTATTTTAACAATAGCTGGAAGATCAATACCAGCATTTAGATGACTTATTGACAAATAAATCCAACAAATAGGCTGTAAAAAAGTGTTTTAGTACAGTCTTCTTGTACAATAAGATGTTTTTTTCTGTCTGGGGATGTGTTTGTTATCTCACTGTGAAGTAATAACAAAATTTTATTGAGGCAATAATTTGAAAGGCTTTGTTAAAGTGTCTGTTAATGTCCCCAAACACTTACATTCTTCACAAAACTGCTTTGGAGGCGAAGTTTGTTGACTTAATTTGAAACCTAAATTGGCAAAGTCAAAGAAAACTTTTTCTGGAAGCACCAGCTAACTAACTGCTAAACTGAAACTACAAATAAGAAATTGACTGATGGCTAAACCCTTTCGCCCAAGGGTTTGGAAGTTGCTGTTATATATTTTAACTAACCTTTTTGTTGCTTATAAATAACTTATAATGTATAATACGAAGGCTAACTAGCTCTAATCTGCAATACAATGCTATTTGTGTTTTTAGCCTTTTTTGTATCCTTACCCAGAAGTTTGTATGATTTCAGGTATTTAACCTCTGTAGACATATTTAAGACAATTTGGCAGGTTTCTAAATTGGATACGAGTCAGCTAGAGATTAACTGGAGACAGTAAGTTTCTAACCAACTGACAGAGCTAACATTAATTAGATAGCTTGCTACAGCTAATAAAATGTGAGTGACAGTTGACCATCACCAAATCTGACAGTTGCTGGTTAAAAATGTCTTTTTATGTGAATTTCTATGAGTTTTTCGAGCAGTAAATCTGCTGCTAACATTTTAAACTCTATGTTAGGACAGAAAAGCTTGATAGGCGTAGCAACAGTAACTAAGGGGAGATGGGCTTAATGGAGGGTTCATTTGTTTTATCTTTGGTAAAATGACAAGGTGCTAAAGTTTTACCAGCAAGTACAGTGGATAGATAGATTTGTTGCACAGTTGCAGCACTCCTATTCTTCACCGAAGCTTCATTTATACCTGAAGTAGTCTCCATTAAATATCAGCAGTTTAAACATGAGACACACAGCACTTACAGCTTGTTTCCTGCGTTTAACAGACACAAAATCCATCTATTAATTGTGCCCTTTGCCCTTAACTTTGACTTAAAGACTTTCAGTCTTCTCTGCTGGAAGCTTTCCCGAATCACTTATATTTGACACGTTAATGTAAATGTTGACTGTTTTCTTGTGGTTATCGGTGTTGTCTGGAAGCTTTTACTCTCTCAACAGGTCTTAACCTGGTTAAATACAAATATTTGCTAGAAAAGAGTTAAGTTAAGGTCTGAGGATTATGCAAAATGCAATATTAATTTCTGGAAAAACAAGTTCCTGTGCGAACATCTTCATAAAGATATTTATATATATAATGTTAGTCTGTGCTAGAATTGTATTTGTGTCCATTGTATTTGGACAGAGGCACCAAATAAACCTCTGGATTCTTGTTGTGATTTGGTTGAACTGACCCTTTAATTCACGAGCCCTCAGTTAATTTGTTATGCTTG